GTGATTACACATACAGGGTGTCCCATTTTAACTTTAACACCGAAATATCTCAAAATACAGCACAAAACTTGCAGTTGCATTGCAATAACATTGCTACAATATTGCAACGTTGCTGTAATGTAGCTGCAATGTAACTGCAAGGTTTTTGCTATATGGGAATATGAAGGACCAAAATGATGCGGCAGCGGAATATACATATATTTCACGGAGTAATTCTATTTCAACGTCTTGAATTAAAAAAACTTTTTGAAGAAATATTGTAAATATCTAGGTGCGTTGTTAAATATAAACAATTAAAAATATTCATTCAATTATTGTATATCGTTTACAATCATATTAGTTTAGCTAGAATTATATATTGTACAAGGTGGAGCATTTGAAACAAAACTGAAATATTTTTTTTTGCATTTTAACATAAAATTAATAAGAAAAGTTTGAAGGAGGAGATATGATAGTGGAAATATATAATTTTTCTCTAGGTCGCCGTTTTCAATATTTTAATATCATCCGTGTTTTTAATAATATCTTATAAACTGCCCACTATTAATCTTATGAACTACCTTATCGTTAGTGCCATCTTGATACTATTATATGTATAGTGAAAAAAGAAATTGATTCGTGTAAACAATTTTGTTTTATTTCGTACGAGGCAGTGCTGCTTGCGCTACTGTCTAGACGTGCGCGCGCTGCGGCTACTATGTCGCCCATTGGTTAGTTGTATTGGGGCGTTGCCCATTGGTTAATTCGCGGCGACAGTACGACTGATTGGTCCCTTGCGACAAGCGAGCCGGCAACCGACAACGAGGTTCGAGGAGAACGAGGAGAACGAAGAGGACCACGAGAGGTTTCAGATGCACGTTCCGCGCGCGTGTGTTTCGTTACATCGTGCTTTGGTAAGTGTTCGAGTTATAAAAACACTTTTATATGATTAAGCGCAGTCTCAAGTTCGTCGGATCAGCCGTTGAGATCCGAAATTCTGAGCGCCCGTCAACTCGAGTACTCGCGTGAACTACACGGCCGGTCTCGCGCGTGCGGTTCTAGCTCGTAGCTAATTATACTTTGTACGAGACACTACCGTTTCTCGTGATAACCAAGTAAAGTAACCAATATCAACCAGCGTGGCTTTATTCGTTTCGTAACTAGGTTATAACCCAGTGAGAAATGATTCGTCGATCGACGTCGAAACGACGTCGAATCGACATCAAACCCGTCGAATTGACGTCGATTCGACATCATTTCGACGTCGATCGACGAATCATTTCTCACTGGGTAGCTGTTCGTACTGAGAGTACGGACAGTTTCTTGTTAAGTATGACAAAAAAGCGCAACTTCATATTTTTATATATTAATATAAGCAAAATTATATATATATATAAATAATAATTTTTTGTACATGTTGACAGGACTTTATTAGGCGGTTCAAGCGACAACATACACGTTTATATATGTATACAGCCAGTGCTGGCGTTTACTTTTGTCAGAGTTAAGGATATTTTTTACTGGAATAATGTAAGTTGGTCTTATTTTTTTCGGTATATAGTGTCAAGATTTATTCTTTTTTCAACATTGCTGAAATGAGTCCCTTCAAAGAACTGAACCTTAAAAAAATCTCACGTGGTCGGAAACCGATTTTTAAGTTAGCACCACGACAACGTTTACGGATATTAAATTTGTTGCGGCAGAACGATAAAAAAGATCATAACATACAATCAAATAATCCAGTGATAGATACTGCGAATGAATCTCATATTAATGTAGCCCCTCATATTAATGTGTCTGAATATCAATATTCTCTCGACCAAATATCTCATGTCAGCGAACATGGTGATTTTTCTTCTGTTGGCTCAATGGATGTCGAGAGTTGTAGTTCCTTCTGTCTTGAAAGAAATATTTCACCTGCAACATTTCAATTTAATGAAAATGATTGCAATTTTATTGCAGATAGTTTTAAAGAATCTCTTGCGATAGCTTTTATACAAGGAAATCTTACGCATACTCAAGGAAATATAATCTTGAAAACATTGCGATCCTTACCCTGTCTCTCGTATCTCCCGAAAGATTCACGAACATTATTGAACACTCCACGTAAAGGCCCTATTATTTCTAAAGTTGATCCTGGAGAATATCTCCATATAGGATTTGCGAAAGCTCTTATCAGAATTTTACAAAAAACGCCACCGAACTTAATTCCAGATATAATAAAAATAGATTGGAGTACTGATGGTGCCAGATTAAATAAGTCGGGTAATATGCAAATTTGGCCGATTCAATGTTCTGTAGCTAACATCGCTAATTCTAAACCTGAAGTTGTAGGAATCTATAAAGGGCCAAAGAAACCACAAAATATTAATGTTTTTCTAGATCAATTTATAAATGATGTTTTAGAAGTTATTGATAGTGGTGGTATTTCATTTCTAAAAAAAAAGTTACCAGTGGAATTACGAGCTTTCATTGCAGATACACCTGCACGGTCTTGGATAATGAACCATTTTGGACATACTTCCAGTAATCCGTGTTCTAAATGTCGAGTTGTTGGTACTCGATGCGAGGACCAAATGGTTTTTATGGGCATAAATCATCGCTTACGAACAGATGATGAATATAGCAAGCTAGATGATGAAGATCATCACAAAGGACCCAGTCCACTAACTCGTTAATGGGTATGGTTTCTCAAGTACCCGTTGAATATATGCATTTGATTTGTTTAGGTGTTGCCAAAAAATTATTAACTGCATGGGTTACTGGAAAGTATGGAAAAAAAATGAAATTATCTGGCCGAAATCAAGATTTTATTTCAAAAAGATCAGAACATATTGCACGATATTGTCCACGAGAATTTGCAAGAAGGCCAAGATCACTGGCTGATTATAAAGATTACAAGGCAACTGAAGGTCGTCAATTAATTTTGTATACTGGACCAGTAGCTTTGCAAGGTGTTATGGAAAAACAAGGTTATATGCACTTCTTACTTCTTCATGCCGCGATACGTGCATTGTGTCATTCACCGACTTCGCAAACGTTGTTACTTTTTGCAAAACTTGCTCTGGACAAGTTTGTCGAAAAATGTCCTGAATTTTATAAAAGTACTTTCCTCTCTTATAACGTTCATGCGTTGTTACATTTAACAAAAGATGTTGAACGCCTAGGTCCTCTGGATTCCTTCTCAGCTTTTCCTTACGAAAATAATATATCGTTCTTCAGGAAATATTATAGAAAACCTCACCGTCCTCTGCAACAATTTTTCTATAGGGCATTTGAAAGAGAAAAACGAGAAAAACTTCAACCTTCAATTGATATTGATACCATTACACTTTTTGGAAGACATAACGAAGGCCCTTTACCTTTAGGATTTACAGCGCATGGTTTTCAATATAAGAAATTTAAGACTAGGAACATCTTTATAAGTGTCGTTTCCTTAAGCGATAGATGTTGTATTCTTCGCGATTTGTCAGTGTGCATTATACACAATATTTTAGAAATGGATAATTTACATTATTTGGTGGTAAAAAAATTTGAAATAGTCGAAGATTTTTATGATGTTGGTGTCCCCTCTTCATTCATCGGTATTTTTAAATGTTTCGCACTGTGTAATAATTTCAATGTTGTATCTATTAATGAAGTGAAGACCAAATGTTACCTGATGCCATGCTGGACAGTTAACGATGATGAAGGCTCAGATTCTAGCATTATTGAGACTGATGAGCCTACCGTAGGGAAATACATTGTTTTCGTTCTTCTTTAATCACAATATATACTATGTTCTTTGTTTGTTTGTATATAGGTAGCTCATTTTCTAGACAAGTTTTATGATGTAGACATTTTTGTGGTGTTATTTACAGTATGCGAAGCTGTAAATAAATAATATATATTAGTACGTTTTTAGATTATTTTTCTGCTGTAATAAAATAAGTATTAGCTATTGCTCAAAGTATTACCAAAAATATAAAAATGTCATAGATTGTTCTATTAGTACCTCTGAGTATCTGTGTTAAAGTACAATTCTCTTATTGGTTTAAGTTATTTAATTTTTTGTTTGTATTGATTTTTACCATATCTCGGAATTGGCTGCATCGATCTTATTCGGATTGGTCGCAATGGAACACTTTTTTTGTATCGACATTAGATTTAAGAAATGTTAGATTTTTTATTGCGGCTTTAGTTTCTTAGATATTTTTATCGAAAGTTTCTTGACATAAGAATTTTCTTATTATTTTTATACTTTGATGAGGATGTTGTATTACCAATTAAATCAAATTTTATTATGTACTAATAAGACTAATAAATATTAGTGCAAAAGTTTAGGATTCATTTATTCGTTTAAAAGTTATTTATCTAAAACTGTAACAAAACATGGTCATTTTGAGGCATTTTCGCTGCATTTATGGTCATTTCATTGTTTCATTGGTTTCAAGATGGTTTGAAGTTGGTTTCAGAACGTATTTACAACAAAATTTTTTGTTGATTGTTTGATTTTTGTCGTTTTATTAATATGATTTTTGTAGTTTAAATTTCGATAACTTTTAGCTGGTATTATATAGCCAAAACGTCCTTATATATAAATATACAGTACTTATTTCTGTTACAAACTATAACATTTTACTCTTTTTAATTGTTTATATTTTTCAGGATGCAAAATAAAATAAAAAAAGCAATTCAAAAGTCACGTCGACAGCCTGGTGGTAATTTGAATAAACATCGAGAACAATCAAAACGGTAAATATACTTAAACAAGTATATTACTATTAAAATGTCATTTTTTACAAAATTTATTTTCAACACTAGAACCGCCTATGGTATTCTACTAGAACTGTCGAAGGTACCAAGTTAATAATTTCTTATCTTTTCGGTTAGTTATTTTGATATTATTTCATATTCACATATTTTCAATATTTTGTACTGTATAATACAAGCAAGAAAAAAATTAAAATGATTAGCGGAGCCAAAATGGCACCATCGATGGTTCTAATGTTAAAGCATAAAATATATGTTTTACAGTGCAAGCTGATATAAAATAAAATTGTTAGTTGCAACTGTATATGAAAATATATGAGAAATTTAACATTTTCGTTAATCGCTGGGACATAATAGTATATCTACCAGTTGTAATATTTTACAATGCACATATTGTTCAAAAGTTGCAAAGTTATCAACTTTTTGTTTCAACTTTTTATCATTTTTAATTACAAATTTATTTTCAAAAAGCATTTTCAAGCTTAAAAATGATATTTTTGCTATTTTTTTATTTATTTTTGTCACTGATCACAGATTTTTACAGCTATGCATGGTTTGGAAGTAAAGAAAACTCGTAAGAATACAGTTTGAAAATTTTTTGTAGCCGTGGAATAAAACTTTATTGAAGTGTATACACAGTTTCAAAAATTGAGACGGGAAACTTATAGTCAACCCAACTGGCTAGTTATTTAATTAATTTATTACACAAATTAATTATATAATTAGCCGGTTGGGTTGACTATAAGTTTCCCGTCTCAATTTTTAATCATTACTGGTGATAATAAGCAAATTCTCTTTTCGACAGTTTCAAAACTCTAATTCTCTTTTTGAAAATTTGAGCTTAATAATTATTCTATTTTTGGTCGAGATATCAAACTTATTATCAACTTTTTTCAAGAAATTTTTCGTTTTATTTATATTAATTTTATGTAATTGTTATATAAAATTTATAATTTTTTGGATTTCCTGTATAATTGTGTAACTTTTTATGACATTTCTCAAAATTTTTATGGAAATTTAAATATTGTTCAGAAATGCTGAAAAAGTCTACTTCTTTTCTAGAATTCTCTCTATAATATATGTGAATTCTGAAAAATTCTATGATTTCTCATTCTCTCACTTCCGAAGAAAATTAATAAAATCAAAAGAAATATTTTTCAGAAATGTTTATAAATATAAAATATAAAAAATTCTTAAAGATATTATGAAATATTACAATTTTGTTTACCAAAGGTGTATTGAAACTTTTGAAAAATATAATGAAAAGATAGTTTTCTTTAATCTCCTGTATTAATATATGAGATAAAAAGTAATAATTTGTTTATACATTAACTTATTCGCGAATAATTGTACGAAAAATAATTTTTTCTCGCAAATTTCGAAAACGTACGAGTTGAATCTATGTTTATCTATCAACATAAAAAATCTTTAGGTTCAAAAGACCCAAAATCTTTTGCATCATTTGGACTAAAATCTGATTTGTTTAGAGAACGAATTATGGCGAACCCGGAAATGTAAATTGTATCCAGCCATAGACTTGCAATTTTTAGTAATCAAGTAAAGGTTAGTTGTTTATTTGCAAAATAATGAAATAATAATTTCATTGTTCTGCAAATGCATTAGTTTGTTACGTTGCTATACCTCGTGTGCTTTTACTTTCATACGTATAAACTATTTTTAAAAACGTATGCTATGTGTTCTTTATGCTGTAGCAATGTACTTTTGATTTGTTGTACTAGAGGCGGTGCTTGTGGGGGGGGGGGGGATTGATACAAGTAGAGTAAAGGAATGCATATCCGGTGAAGCCTCGTTTCCATACTACACGGTTGTAGAGTTGCTACTTCTAAAATTTCTTGTGTAGGTAAAGTGCCTTTTCGGTAGAAGAAAACAAAAAATTTTATTAGAAAAAGTTGTTCAAAATTAAAACTCAGGCCCATATACCATATTCTAAATCAATCGATAGCCTCAGGCTCATATTCTGAGTCCTCTTTTATCGATAAAAGTATCTCTAAAGCCTAGCTAATAAAAAAGCTAAAAAAGAGAACTCAGAATATGGGCCTCACATAAGTGTTTAGAAGTAGTACTTTACAGCCGTGTAGTACGGAAACGAGGCTTCAGCGGACATGCATTCCTATACTCAAATTAATAATATCAACCTTCCCTACAAGCACACAAAGCCTGTCTCCATCTTTTTGTTACACTCTGTATAAACTGTTATGCACTCCTGAATCTGTGAGTAACATAAAACATAAACAACTACGAATGTATTATATGAACAATAAAGCACTAAAAGTCCTAGGTATATAAATTAGATATAGAATTCATAATAAAAAGAAAAATTAATAAAAATATATTAATTTCATTGTAATTTAAATTTAAAATAATTAGGATGCCCGCATGGATTGAAGAAGGTCCAGGTTCGAATTCTGGGTGAGGTTATATTTTTCGTAATAAATTCTTTACAGTAATATTTGGGGGGGGGGGTGTTAGATACGATACGTATTAGCATCATACATCGATTATCGATTTAATGATGTGAATTTGCTGTTCCAACAAAGAAGCTATGTATCAAGACCGACAATTCTAGTTGGCACGCAGTATTAGTTGCAAATAGTACTAAAAAGTAATATGGAAATTATTTGGCTACTTAAACATTATATTGATTTTAAATCATGATCCTATTTTCACTTTATTATTGTAAAATAATTACATAAGAATAATAAGCGAAAATAGGACCATATGATTTTTAAAATCAATATAAAATAAGAAGTTTTGTCAAGTCCGAGCTGGATCTAAGCAGCTTAATAATATTTTGTGAATTTTATATACCATTTCCAACATGCCATACGCGCCGGTTATTTGTCAGTCTTTCAACACAGTTTTATTTGTTGGAACAGTAAAGTCACGTACTTTAAATCGAAAATCAATTTAATTAATTTGAAGCTAATAAGCACCCAGCGAAAACAGTCTAATTAAAATAAAATCTATATGACGTCGTTTATCATCACTTTCTCTGTTCTATCGGGCAGTTGATTGTGTACTTCAAAACTTAGTGAAAATTACAAAAGTTAGCGAATTTACTAAAATTATATAAAATGTTGCAGATGCATTGATAGAAATTTTAGTGATATAGTTTGTGTAATATTTTGAGACAAATATTCTAATACATGAGTGGTGAGATGATAATAGTTTTTAAACGAGATTAAAATTTATTAATGATAATAACTTAAATGAGCAAAAAGTTGAAGTTATTATTTTTGCCATCGTTTTCATAACTCATATAAGTTATCACTCATCAATTTGATGTTACGTTGACATCATTTTGACTAGGTTATTTTCACCCCTATACATTCTCCCTCCCCTAAATATCACTGTAAAGAATTTATTGCGAAAAATATTACCTCAGCCAGGATTCGAACCTGGACCTCTCTTATTCCGTGCGGACGTCTCATCACCAATTTGACCACCGAGGCATGTAATTAAATCATAAGATCATTTGTAATCATGTTTGTAACTTCTCCATAATTGTTTAAATATGATGAAAAAGCTCTTTCTATATATTGTATCGCAATATATAAAAAAGGTAATTAATTTGTATGTCTTAAAATGCATCACGCAACTTTAAGATCGATATTTTTTAAATCATGAAAATAAAGTACAAAGTTAAGACTTATTTACTTAAAACGCTTCATCATCAGGTTTTCTTTTTCAATCTTTTTTAAATCAAAACCTGCTGTTTACTAATTCACTTTCTTACTTCCTTGCAATGGCTTCCAGCATTGTTGCATGCACTTTGTCCCAACTAAATTGCATTTTGTTCAAGCACTTATTTTTGCATTTCTTTACCTTGAATTGTGTTTTACAATCTTATTGTTGTTTACAATTTATTTTAAGTCAAAGTATAATTTTGAAAAATAAATATATAATACAGCATTAATTTTTATACAATTTACTACGTTAAATACATGCTTGCATGTTTGCAATTAAAAATAAATAATTCTTTATACAATTGGTTAAGATAATGATAAAAATTTACATTTGCAGTTTTGGTCATCCGTCTCGTCAAATTGTACGGCCTAGAAAATATAAAACTACTTCGTTGTCAGATATAGACAAAGTCGTAAGACGAAAAAATAAGTGTGATCTTGATCAGACTGTCGACATCGAAAATGATATTAATCAAATAAGAAGTAGATTAAATGTTAATAAAGAAAACGAAGCTGCTAATATCGACATTCAATGTGCCTCTGCTTCCACGAATAACAATTATTCAGACCAATTGATAAATCCATTGGAGGACATAAATCCATTAAATGTTGCTGGTCATTTTGAACGGCGTTTTGTACCTCAAAAGACATACACCGACTTATTACCGCTGAGATCTACAGCAGATTTAAATGTAACTATGACTAAGAATAATTCTATATTTCTCCACTTCACCTCAAGTCCACATGTGCATAATCATATCTTGTGTTTTTTTTTAGGAAAATTCTGTTCCAAATACTTCATTCAATGGATCTTCAATTTCACGAAATGAGACATGTCATCACCAAGTCACATCTACATTAACGTCTACACAGACAGGTCAAGCAATATACGGACTTTCTCAACAAAGTCCTTGTATTACAACATCTATGTCTTTACAGACAGGTCAAGGAATATATGGATTTTCTCAACAAAGTCCTTGTGTAACAACTATATCTTCACAGACAGATCAAGCAATATACGGACTTTCTCAACAAAGTCCTTGTGTTACAACTATATCTTCACAGACAGGTCAAACAATATACGGACTTTCTCAACAAAGTCCTTATGTTACAACCAGTATAAATCAACAGGAGAATCCTACTCAATTAATACCTGCTCATTCAAATAAATCTGGTCACAGCAACGATAGATTACAAGATAAAGAAATATCGTACGTATTTATCGCGCATAATGCTAATCATACAATTATATGTATTTATGTCTTTCAATATAAGTAACATATATATTTTTTTTCATATAAGGCTGCACGAAAAGTTAAGCAATGTTGTCTCCAAGGAAGAATTTCAGTAAGTTGATCCTTTTTTAAGAACCATATTTTCTATCAGTTAACGTCAAATGATACTGATATACATTATTATTTTTCTCTTAATGCAGATTTTTCAATAACGGTAAATCAATAAAATAGCATAATAAATAAAATGTAATTAATGTAGCATAAGACTAAAAAATGTAGAATTAATAAGTTGAACGTTGTAAAATCAAGATACTCATTTTCATATTACAAACGTTATTTACACTACTAGATACCACAGGTAAATGCGCGTTTCCCATACAGCACCAAAGCTTTCAGAAACATTTCACAGATCTTGTTGCAATGTTGCAATGTTTCTGAAATGTTTCTGAAAGCTTCAGTGCTGTAAGGGTTTGCACACGTTACTTAGTTGTATCGATTGAGCGTACTTCGAATGTCGTCGGATCAGCCGTTGTTGAGATTTCAAAATCTGAGGGCCTGTCAACTCGCGCACTCGCGTAAACTACACGGTCGGTCTCGCACGCGCAGTCTAGCTACGCTTATACTTTGCGCGAGATATTACCGTGTCTCGTGATTCATCTTATAAAAATAACATGCTTTTTAATTATCATTTCAGATGCCTACGCAACGAATTGAATACATACCATCTGTGAGTAAATACTTTATTTAGGAACTATTTAACGAATTATAATTCTTGTTGTGAATTTTTAAGTGATTATTTTAGTTGTTCGTCTGACAGTTGGCGTAGGTTTAAAGCTCCTGGTACTTTACCAGCCATATTAGAAATCGTGACGTCAGAAGCGAGAAATGACACGCTGAGAATTCTTGCGTGCCATTTTTTAATAACAAGGTATTTGGATAAAAGGATACTTTAAATTACTTTGGCATACTTCTAAAATAGACAGAAAAGTAACCCTTTCTGTCAACAGTCAATTAACAGCCGTAAAATGAATGTGATGTGAAACTTGGTCATACAGAATAACTGCGCATGTGCAAGCTAGGTTTCATATTTCAATCATTTTACAGCTGTTGATTAATTTACTGGGTCTACAATGCGAGTCTCAGAGTCGTAGTCGTAAGAATAATCGACTATAATTGGTCAATTCTTATGCGACTGAATTGACCAATTAGGCCGGGTCTATAATAGGTGTAGTAAGCCGTAAGCCGTAAGAAAGTGATCAATTTACCCCTGGTCCACAATCTTGCTTTAAGTAAGCTGTAAGCCTTAAACCGTAAGAAATTAATCAATCACAGGTGAAAGTGAGGGGAATAAATGCCTGTGATTCGTTAATTTCTTACGGTTTGAGGCTTACAGCTTATTTAAAGCAAGATTGTGGACCAGGGGCTACAAGCGATTAGCCCGGGTCTGCAATAGGTGTAATAAGCCTTAAGCCGTAAGAAATTGATCAATCACAAGCGATTATTATCCTCACTTCAGATTGTGATTGGTCAATTTTTTACGGCTTAAGGCTTACTACACCTATTGCAGACTCGGTCTTACAATCGATTATTCTTACGACTACGACTCTGAGACCGGTATTCATAGTTAGGTAGATCTTACATTCAAGACCGTCTTGAATTTATCTAAAGATGCTGTATGGAACATTTCATTGGCTATGGAGTATCTAAAGATGATCTTAAGACGGTCTCGAATATAAGATCTGACTATGAATACCGGCCTGAGACTCGCATTGTAGACCCAGCATTACTGCTGACAGAAAAGGTTAGTTTTCGGACTATTTTAGAAGTGTGCCAAAGTGATTTAAAGTACCCTTTTATCCAAACATCTTTTTATTAAGAAATGGCACACAAGAATTCTCAGCGTGTCATTTCTAGCTATTGACGTCATGATTTCTGATATGGCTGGTAAAGTACCAGGAGCCTTAAGTCTACGTCAACTATTCTTTTTTATTTTTTTTTCGTGGGAGATAATGATTCTACTTCCACATCCGAATCTTCCATTATAAAACTACTTTCACAAAGACTAACCTTGATGTTCTCCAAAAGATGTTGGGTTAAAAATACATAAGAGCCTCGTCAAAATTATCTGAGCGGTCTGTTAGGTGGGATCATAGACAAATAAAAGATAGACTGCTTATGAGATAGTGGGGAATGTCCTAGGGTTCCACTGCCTCAAAAGCAGTCTATCTTTTATATGTCTATTGGTTCCTGCCCACTGGACGCGG